TACTGAGTGAGTTAGTAAAACCAAATAACTGCAGTCCTATGCACACGGTGATGGAGACATTTAGTGGACGTCCCTAAGACTTTCGGATTGTGTGTCGAGGCTATGGATTCTATGATGGAATAGCACAATCAACTATGGTCGAATATATGTGCCGACAAACAAAAATGGGAACAGCGTTAGTTCGAATCTACCTACAATAAGATTGGGCAGACCGACATGCAGAAATATTTAGGATGACGTCCGCGAAAGTTCACCGAACAGCTTAGCACGTGACGGTCGATTTTTGTGGACCGAATATTTTAAAGCGTTCAAATCAATTTCATTCTAGATCATCGAGAGACACTAAGGATCTTCCAGAGTACTAGTACTTTTAGGTTGTGTCACAGTATTCCAGAGATTCTTGGTTCCCCTGAAAACATCAATAGTTGAGGGAATCCCGTAGTTCCTTAATAAAACCGAGAAGAAGACGAGGATCTCGAACACGGATCCCTGTGACACCATGTTCCCGGGGGAGCGTTCATTGACAGAACTAAATTGTGATTTGGGTACGCATGGTGAAAATTTATTGTAGTCTAAATTACCCATTGCAAACTGTAAAGATAAACTTTATACAATATCGGAAAGAAAATGATCGGGTAATAGTAAGCCGAGTCATTACGACAGCCGGTTTCGTATACAGGGGAATGAGTTCTTGTTTTCGTAATTGTGGAAGAAGAATGCTATGGAATAGGTTGGAAAAGTAGACTTAATCGCACAATTATATTACTAACCTCTCTCTATCGAATTCACACGCATCTGCGTTCTGATTGTGTGCCAAATAAATCGCGATACAATAATCTTTATAAAAGAAAAACGTTCCACGATTTGCATGTGGGCTGAATACTGCCACGTTACCCAGGCCAAGGCAGGTGAATTTTCTCAGGGAATCCACAACCAGAACCTATGACTAACCAAAGCCTGACCCACAAGTCACCGGGGCGGTGTGATAGGGGCATGTGAAAGAGTGTTATTTACCCCTGGAGATTTCTCTTCAAATACGATGCATTCAATATTCTGCGAGGGGAAGAATATTGATGATTAGGGTTGGAACACGGAATGTGATCCAGAAACGGGGGTGTTGCAGCCACACGTGGGCAGGTGCAGTGAACCATTGTGTATACGGAATTTTTAGTATTACCATTGCCTAATCTGTGGTGTTTGGAACACTTTGCAAAACTCACAGCTGAGAAGTCAGACTCGACGTTTCGGGCGGCATTCACACGTTCCCAGTAGTTTGGAGTTCGGTAGATTAACTAGTCCTGCAGTGCTAACTTGAAGCGATATTTTCGCGGCGGAAAGGGAGTATTACGTGTTCTGTTTTATCAAACGCGGGAATATCTTTTCTTTGAAAAAATGTTTTGCCGAATCCGCCACTGCATTCGATCGTGAATCTATCAGACGTCCTCGATTCCGTGAGATCGATCAGCGTACAACTGTTGCCCACAGAAATTCACCGTGAACATGCATATCAAGTGTGGTCGGACATCAATACAGCATGGCCAATGCGCTCCCTTTTGAATTGCGTTAAAAGTTGCTTTTTTACCACCATGAACCTAACGAACGATTACCGAGTGACTCCACATGATTCTGATATCATTCGACAGACTGCGAGACCTCCGCGTCACTTAGAAAAAGATTCAGAAGGAAGGGTTGGTTAGATCTGGCCTGCTTGTGGCGGGAACGACTTGAAAGTTTCAGTTTCAGTTTTTACAACTATTAACCATGCACTTTCGTGTGCCGGTTTTGGTCGATGTCTTTTGATGCCCCGTTTGGATAAAACAGCAAAATGAAGATTGGAATGTTGAAAGCAAATTCAAGCAGAAGATGAAGAATTCGCATAGAATGGTGTTAGGAGAACAATGGGTGGATGCACCAGCCATTTCACTCCGCGTTTCTAACCATCGGTTACGATCATCCCGAGGTCCCCAGCCACGGAACCTAACAGGACCTATGTGAACCAGTCTCCTGGTCAGAGTCATACCTTCATGCCAGGTCTTAGTTCGACCACCTTTGATCTTTTTCCAACCGCTACCAGCCTTGACAAACATCGCTTGCCGTGGCAACCTGTCTGGTGACATGCGTAACACATGCCCCAACCAACGTAATCTATGCAGGTCGATCACTTGCTCCAGTGGACGACCGCGAATGCCTAAAACTCTACGCCAGACATCAGCATTGCTTGTCTGGTTACCCCACCAGACTCGTGCAATGCGACGTAAACAGCGGCGTTCGAACACCAACGATCTATTTTAATCCTGTTTCCGTAGTGGCCAAGTATCTGCACCGTAGAGTAGGACTGGCCGAACTGCTGCAGTATAAACTCGACCCGTAACAGACAGCAGGATGTCGCGACGGCACTACAAATGTCTCAAGTTGGCAAATGCCAACCGAGCGTTTTGTATGCGGGCCGACATTTTATCTGCGATGCGTCCGCCAGATTAGATATAGCTATCCACCTCCTCTACCACCTCCCCAGTCTGAGACTGGGTGCTGGACAACGTAATCTTGGAGCAACATTTTACACGTTGAAGGTGCGAAACGCAAACCCAACAAGGTGACATTGGCACTCACACTATCCAGAAATGCTGGCAAGTTATTTAGATCTTCAGTTGGCCGTACAGTGTCGTCTGCATACTGCAGACCAGGCATCCTATCCCATGGGAGCAAATCAATTCTACTATCCTCTTACGAGGATACAGCTTTTTCGAGAACGAAATCCTCAACGAAATTAAACAGAAACGGAGAGAGGGCAACCCCGGAAAACACCATTTTCCGTGTTGCAGTGATGACATGATCGGTATAGGTCTATCACAACGAGGTGCACATTCCTCTCCAGATGATCATCAGTCTATTTTAACCGATCTATGGAAGAAAATGGATCGGGGGTGAACGGCAGCGCCGAACAAAGGCACCAAAGGCATCATTATTGCGGTCGACGCAGTTAGTCCGGTGTTTGAGAGCGCGTTTGCGCGTGCGTGCGTGTGAAGACTGTGATCGATTGTGCCGCAATCAGACATGCACAACAGCGAATTAAGCAAACCGATACGAGCGAGATGACACAGAATGGCTCAGAACTGACATAACCAGGGCGGGTAAGTGAGGTATCGATTACAGATGTGACGGAAACACACGCACATAAACGGAATAGAGTTTAAAGTCTCCGCCGAAGGAGCCTGAGAGTATGTGGTCAATTTATTCAAGCTGCAGCGAACCCGAGTCCGGTTCCGTAGTGGAGTTTCGTACCCAGTTCAGACACCGATGAGATCGTGTAGGTCGGTCTCCGATATTGATATATTTCTTACCATAAACTGGATACACACAGTGTATATGATTATAATCATCACGGATACTGTTAACTGGAACGCACATTTTCGCTGTTTACCAGTTTCGTCGGTCATAGAAAGGGGTAGCAGATCTGAGAAACCATAAACAGGACATGGATTTCGAACAGAATCTGACAAACCTTTACACTTTCGAAACTATAACATTCGAAACAGGACTCGGAATAGAACAGCGCGAACTCGGACTTAAAATCCACTGAATAGTGCAAAGTCCGGCAGAACCAAGACGAGCTTTGGATACAGTTAATTCTATTCGGATAATCATGCAAATAAATATCACAAGCCTCCAGTAATCATTGATCGACTCTTTCAAGTCCAATCGACAACCATATGGTCCATTTGCATGCCTCCTCACATTCAGCCGATCCGGTTGGTGCCATTTGAGATCACAGGATTGGTCGGTAAATCCGCCTCTTCATTGGCTAAGTTGTAGCTGTGTAATCTTGAGTGTGTACTCGTTGCACGATCACCACAGCTTTAATCGCTCAGGAGTCCCTCATCAATCTGACTTGCTTTTCGCCTTGATCTCCTTAGCGTTGCACTGGTTGAGGTTTCCGATTCTGCCAGTTCTACTCCATGACATCATGACATTAGAAAGCCGTAGTATCAGATTCAGGCGGTTCGGAATTGATAGAGCTATCCTCTGCTTCATGGGGCTCGGATGCACTGATAGTTCGTTCATCTCTCAAATGTACCTGCTTGACATGCCGTGGATGGATAGACGCATCCGCTTATTCGGTTATCTCCACCACTGACTGCCCCAAGTTTCTGGTGATGATGCCATAAACAGGGCGCAGATCCTTGCCTCCTGGCGTATATCACGTCAATAGAATCAAAACGTCTCAGAGAACACCTCAAGCAACGTGATTTGAATGGCGGTGCCGAACTTTCCTTGGTAGTTGCATGTGTCCACAAGTTGATTCCCACAACTGATACAAATCTTACAATCTGCTATGAGAGCATAAGTCCGCGTCGTGTTCCACTCGATGAATCAGCCTTGGGAATACGAGACACAGTCGCATTCTCAGTATCAAAGTTGGTTTGTATATTCGACGATGCGCTGTTACCACTGGTATAGACATATCACAGGTAAATCAAGTGGATGATGCCTTGGGATTCATCAGGTTCGGACCCAGATTCCAGCACAAGTCAAGAAACTAATCTGCACGATGATTTGTGGATTTTTGCTGTTTACAGATTACTTACCACAAGTAAATCTGACACATTATCCGAAATGACCGTTGGCCGCCCGCGAACCCCCAGTCAGTGAAGCAATCCCCATCAAATCGAAGTGAACCATCTGAGTGGTATTTCATCCATTCACGAATTGCTGACGCGTCGATAGTTCCGCTGCCCACAGAAGTAGAATATAGACTAACACCTGCAGTTCAAATGGACATTAAACCAGTTTTCACACTTCAAGGAATCTGCGACCAGATCGCGTAATTCCCTATAGTGAGCATTGTGCGTTCCCCATCAGACATATGGATTATCAGTCTTGGGTTGTTTCAATGCTTTTTCATCCGAATGAAATCATTGTTCCATGGATCGTCCTCTGAGAACGACCAAAATGGTATTAGCGAGAGTGCAACAGGATTATTCCCTTTATTTTTGTCGCTATTAAATCGTGCTCCGGGCACGCGAGGACAGACGAACCCGGCGATTTTGGAAATTATGATGAAGGCGAGGAAGATGATCCCCAGCACAACCATAATCGCCTCCGAAAGCCTCAGTATGGTCTGGGGTGGGTGTTTCGGGTTGTGACTGGTCGTCCTTCTCATGCACCTCGAGAAATGCCACCGTACGACCAAGCGTTTCGAATAGCCTCTGTTGACGAAGCCGTACTCACCGTATTTTCGTAGGGGAAGTGTTTTCCCAAGAATACGGGAGGACGAAAAGCCAGCATCCGGGGGAATAATCGGACAAGTGGACCACTGATTATTCATCTAGAGGAGTTGGTCAAAAACCCTGATTTCAAACTAACCAAGAGAAGGAGTACGAACCAAATATACATACATACCTTTCCCATTGTGGCCATTATCTTCGGCTCAGTTGGGCATCGAGATGTATCGGGCACCTTGAACGTTTGACTGCATCCAGACGGTGCATAATTCGATAAACTGGACACTGGTCCCGAANNNCCGCCACGCTGCCTTGTTGGTCAGGATTTGGTTAGACAAAGGCTTTGGTTGTGGATTCCCCAAGAAAATTGACCTGCCTCGGCCTGGGAAACCTAGCAGTATTCGGCCCACATTTAAGTGAAGGAACGTTTCTTTTTTTATAAAGGATATTGCATCATAATTGGTTCAGCACAGAGTCTGAATTCGTATGTAATATATATATATATATATATATATATATATATATATATATCATTATAAGTAGTACTTGAATGACTAGACTAAATTTCCCTGGAAACACATGACCGGTTTCGCGGTTCTTGCCGCTCATCAGGCATGCGTATGCGGTAATGGTTTGTCAGTGCATTGATATACTTGTCCCCAGGAAGTATAGTTT